CAGCTCCCCCCATTTTCCTCCAGTTCCCTCCTAGCTTTTTCCGTTCTCCAGTTCTCCCCCAGCCTCCCACATCCACCAAGGATGCCCCTGGGAACAAGCCTTCCCTGCAGGCTGGAAGGCAGTTGAGTGAGGATAGAGTGTATCAGAGCCCTGGATCCTCCCGGAATGCAAACAGCACGTGTGTGTAGTTTATAGTGAATAAAGGTATAGTTTGTAGTGAGTAAAGGAAACAAACCCACTTTGTGAGTCATTGAATCACAGAATGGTTTAGGCTGGAAGGAGCTTGAAGATAATCCAGTCCCACCTCCTGCCATGGGCAGGGACAACTTAACTAGCTCAGGTTACTCCAAACCCCATCCAGCCTGGCCTGGAACACTTCCAGGTGTTTCTGGGAAGTGGTGGGAGAACCTTTCCTCCTGCTCTGGCTATCTATAGTTTGATGTGTGGGAAGAAGAAATAAGAAGCTTTCAAGGATTCAGTTATTTAAGGCACCGTTTTACCATAGAATCATTGAGTTAGGAATTACCTGTAAGATCAGCTGTTAAAAGTAGCATTCCTCAGTGGCTCTGGGTAAGAGGAGTCTGTTCAAACAGGGGAAGATCTGGATCCTGTGTCCTGAATTCTGTACAGCTGTCCAGGCCAGGAAACTTTTTCCTTCATTTGATGACACAACCTTCTGAGCTGGAAATCTCTATGCATCACTGACTGTTGACATTGACTATATTACAACATGTAATGGAAATGTGTCACTTAAAGCTTTAGAAAAAAATCGGGTAGAAGAAAGAATTTCAGGTTTAAGCCAAGCTCAAGACTTGCAGCCACATAGTGAAGAAATGGTGACAAAAACAGCATCATGGGGAGGTGTGTTGGGTGGTTTAGCCCATGAGCAGCATTAGGGGATGAGCTCTGCTTTTGCTGACTGGCAGAAGCTTTCCACCTTAGTTTGGTGGGATATGGTTTACCTATGTGAGGTAAAATAGGTGCTGAAGCAGGTGGAGGAAAGCTGAGACTATCACACTCTAAAGCAAGGTGATATCAGCTTAAATTACAAGAGGAGTGTGAACTTGAGCACCTTAGTTAAGAAGTGAATCTTCTGAGTTCAATGTAGTCACTGTAAAGAGAGTTTTGTCCAGGAATTATTCACTTAAGTCACTATGGCTTGTGTTTAAAGGCATCTTTGTGCACTAAGGTGGGAAATTGGGCTCTGTCTTTCAGTTAGGTGTGAATGAGGGTGAATTTGGGCAGTGACTGTCCTTGAATCTCCTCTTTGGTCCTGCACAATTGTAGTCAAGCCCTCAGCATCTGTTGGTATGGGAGAGTTTCCCATAGTATCCACTCCCAACATTAACAGTATGTCCATAATATTTTAAATCTAGGGAAAACAGCCTCTTTTTAGGGAGAAAGACTATAAATTGTCCATCTCTGCTGTGAATTCCTGAGTGATGCCCTGCTGTCTCCTGCACACAGGGTGCCTCCCATGCTGCCACGAGGCTCTTGGCTTTGCAGGACTTCAGAGCTGCCAGGACTGTCAAAATCAACCCTGATGCTCCCCAAAGGAATGCTCGTTTCCTGACCCTGGAAGTAAGTGTCCCTATCCTCCTGTCTCTCTCTCACAGGGCTCCCACCAGGTTTGCTGCTCTCTCAAAGAGCTGGAGGTGTTCAGCAGAGCACGGGAGGTTAAAGTGGATCCTGACAAACCCCTCGAGGGGGTTCGGCTGCTGACACTGCAGGTAACAGCATCTTTGTACCCCTGAGGAGGAGTGGGGTGGAAGAACAGCACTCAAAAGCATCTTACCATCAACACCTGCCATTTCTCTGGCAGGTTGTTCATGTGAGAATATCTCTGCCTTTTTGGTGCAAGGAGGGTTTGGGGAAGTGAACAGTTTGTGCAGAGCTGTAGCTGTTTCATCATCACGGTGTTCTTACTCCCCAAAACATGGGAGGTAGCCAATGCCTCAAAGTCTTTATCACAAGCTAAATGTGTGACAGACTTAGATCACACCTGTGCATGCTCAGGAGTTTTTAAATGTAGCTCATTTGTGGACATGCACTTTATTTCAATGAGTATCATGAAATTACAGATTGGGTCGGGAGGTCTTAAAGCTCATCTTGTTCCATCCAAACCATGGGCAGGGACAACTTTCACTAGCCCAGATTGCTCCAAGCCCTATCTAACCTGGTCTGGAGTACCTCCAGGAATGGAGCAGCCACAGCTGCTCTGGGCAGCCTGTGCCAGTGCCTCAGCAGCCTCACAGGGAAGAATTCCTTCCCACTCTCTGATCTAACCCTGTCCTCTGTCAGTTTTAAGCTAATCCCCCTCATAAAGGCATAAACCACACCTTGTAAAGATATTTAAAGGCATTCCTTTAAAGGGGGAAGTGTTTAAAAGTCTATCTTTAAATATCTTTAAAGTTATATCTCACCTTTTATTCTTTAAATAAACCTTTGGAATTTTCCTGTACTGGAGGGATTTCATCTACAGTCACTACACAATCAACAACACTAAGTAGAGCGAATGAGATGATTGATCAAATAGAGACCTGATATGTCTTTCGTGTCAAAATGTTTCTGTAGTGTAAAATGAGCCTTTGAATGTGATAAATTCTTCTGTTGCACAGGCAAGGAAGACTTTGTTGGTGCCCACACCACGCCTCAGGACTGGGCTGTTCAACAGGATTGTGCCACCTCCAGGTGCAACTAAGGAGATCCTGAGGAAATGTGCCACATCTCAGGTGGGAATGAGGAATGGAGAGGCCTGGATTGACTTGTATGTGAATGAGTGTGATCCAACTAGAGGCTGGAAAACCAGATGCTGCCTGAATATCATCCTGCTAGGATGTTATTCCTGGGGTTGTGTACAGAATTGCAGTTAATAATTTCATAAGCATGAGGAAGTTTAGTCTTGTTGCTACAGAATTTCATGTTATCTCTATTTTATTAGCAGAATGGTATTGATATTTTCTCAAGGCTTTTTGGAATATTATAAGTAACTTTGATAGGTGAATTAGACCTTTAGCTTTTTAATAAATCATGTTCCTCCATTGCACACTTTTGAGCTGGTGAAGCCTGAGGAATATTTTAGTATTTATAGGTTTTGCATAATCTCTATGGAATATTCGGTTTCACCAGATGGGAAGGATGAGTTCTTCTAGAGTACTCAACCTAAAGAAACGTGAATTCTGCCTCGAGTGAGGCACAAAGATGTTAAGGTTTGTTTTAGTGTGGTCTGTTGCTGCCCTCTTGTGTCCCAATTCCATACTGAAGGCATACTGAAGGAAAAACAGATATTTATATCCCTCTTTATTTGAAACCTAAATCTAACTGCTACAAAACTAATATAGATTTATTTCCTTCTTTACCTCTTGATAAAGGCACTGAAGTCTTACAATAATCCCATACACAACTGAGATTGTAAATAGTTGGTAATTAGTGACAACTTTCTTTGTTGGAAGTTCTATTGAAGTCATTAACTAATTAAGCTTTTCAGAGCTTTTTGACAGAGACCTTTGTCCTTCAGGCCTCATCTCTGATCTGTGATTTTTCCACATGTGTCTGGTTTGTGCACCAATCAAACCTAATGATTAAATGCTGTTGGCAGCTTGTATTTCCACTGTGCAAACAACCCTCTCCACACTGCTATGAAGTGGTGAATGAGCATTCGTGCTTATAGACCATCAAAATTAATGATGAGCTTGTGCTCTATGCTGAAAATACTTGGCTTTTCATTGTGAGGATTCACTCAGCACAAAGTGAGGTTGGTGTGAGGAGCATTTCTGGTGTGCTGTACACCTAGATCTTGATCCATTTACTCTTAATCTCTTCTAAAGTTAACCTATGATATTTTACAGCCCAAATAAACAGCATTTTGGATGTCTCATTTGTTAGGTTGGGTTCTTTAGAGAGGAGATTGAAGTAGGGAGAGAGGGGAAGAAAATTATCACAACTGTCTGTGTCTAAATGAACTTCATGAGAATTAATCAACAATCTGTGGTGCTCTGATATTCCTCATGGATGTGAATCTAGATGATGTGATTTTAATTAGTAGTAGTAGGTAGGAAGTTTCATTTTTCCCTCATTTTCAGGCCTAGATTTCCAATAAAATATGAGTTTTAAGCCTTAAATAAATAACTTTCCTTAAAGTGCTCACCTCCCTCAGCTCTCCTTGAAGTGTGCCAACATTCTTGTCACAGTAGTAGGGAATCTATTCTAGGATTCCCTAGAGGATAACTTTCCAGACATGTCCAGCTTGGCTATACATGGAAGAGCCACTATGAAATGTGGAGACTTACTTGGATTTATCAAAATATCCTGGATTTCTGCCTCAGTGCTTGGAAGACTCTGCACTGTACCAACCTCAAATGCTGTTTTCCTTGCAGGGTATCAAAGAATTCAGTGTGCCTGTGGGGCTTGATGGGAAAGCACAAGTGGATTTGGTTGTTGTAGGATCAGTGGCTGTGTCTGAAAAAGGTAAGGAAAAGCCTTGTGAGCTCTCAGGAGGCAGATCCCAAGGCGCAATGTCAGTAGGATACACCATGTGTTCCTTTGAGGAGAGGAATATGTCCTTGGGACTAACTTGTGGGCTTGAGTTGTGACAAATCACTGAGCCCAATCCCACCAGGGAGAAGCAATGTCTCCAGGATGTTGCCAGGAGCTGCAGTAATAGGACAAGGGGCAGTGGGTACAAACTGAAGGAGGGGAAATGTAGATTAGATGCTAGGAAGAAGTTGATGGTGGTGACACACTGGCACAGGTTGTCCAGGAAGGCTGTGAATACCCCAACCCTGGTGGTGTTCATCCCATGTTGGCTAGGCTAAAGCCTTGAGCAGCCTGATCTGGTGGGAGGTGTCCCTGCCCAGAGCAGGGAGTTGGGACTGAATGATCATTAAAGTCCATTCCAACCCCTTAACAATCTATGAAACTATGAAACATCATTTAGTCACCTTTCAATTATTAAAGTAGCCACAGCAGCACCATCACTTTAAACAGGGGCAGACAGAGCTGATCAGAGGACTGGAGCACCTTCCCTACAAAGACAGGCTGAGGAAGCTGGGGCTATTCAGCCTGGAGAAGAGAAGGTTGTGTGGAGACCTCAGAGCAACCGGCCAGGATCTGAAGGGGCTCCAGAGAAGCTGCAGAGGGACTCTGTGTTAGGAACTGCAGTGACAGGACAAGGGGTAATGGGGAGAAATTGAAAGAGGGAAATTTAGATTAGATCTTAGGCAGAAGTTTTTCCTGTGAGGGTTGTGAGACGCTGCTACAGGTTGCCCAGGGAGGCTGTGGCTGCCCCAACCCTGGCAGTGTTCAAAGCCAGGTTAGATGAAACCTTGAGCAACCTGGTGTGGTGGGAGGTGGACTGGGACTAGATGATCTCTAAGGTCCATTCCAACCCCTTAACATACTACAAATCAAAAACCAATCCCTGATTGAGTGGGCACCCAGCAGCGTGGTTCAGAGCCTGTGGGGCAGTGGTTTGGCCTTCAGAGAACTATGCAAGCAAGCAGCTAGTTTTGGTTTAGAGAATCAAAGCAGGTTCCCTGCTTAGAGGCTCACACAGGGTGTGTGAAGGATGTGTTAGACCTGCTGACTCAGTACCTCTTTGAGGATCAGATTTTGCATTTTCTACTATTTTCAAGACCTGCTGGTGAAAACTTTTCCACTGACTTTAGCCATTGCCTAAACCAACATGTTTTTGTGTGTGCCCCAGCCTCCTCCTTACCCACATTAACCTGTGTTGGACAGGAGCAGAAGGTTCTGAGTACAGTGGGTAAATAAACTGCTGTGTTAAGACTAAATTTGGCTTATGCTGAATGGGAGGCTTCTGGAATCCTTTAGGAATTGATTGAAACTGATGTTTTATTTCATTTCAGTGCTGATTCCAAGGAAAGTTGCACTCTGAGAGGTGCTGATATGAATTTTTCGTGAGCTGCAACTCTTTGCTTGGTTTATCTGTTGTAAATTTCTGTTTAATTCCATTCTTTTCACAGGTATCAACCTTCCGCTCTGCTATTTCTGCTTTATCACTGTTTATTTTATGTGCTTTAGGTTGGAGAATTGGGAAAGGAGAAGGTTATGCAGACATGGAATATGCAATGATGGTGTCAATGGGGGCGGTGCAGGAGGACACACCTGTGGTGACTATTGTGCATGACTGTCAGGTAAGGTAAAATATAGGTTAAAATATCCTCTCTCAAGTGATGTGTGACCTGTGTGAGTGACACTGATGTGTCTGAACAGGAGACAGAATGGGGTTCATGGTTCTTCATACATTGAAACATATACATAAAGACATCAGGAATGTCTTGATGTACAATTATAGTGGGTTTGTTTTCAACTACTCACCAAATTTCTTGTTCCTTGCAGGTGCTTGACATAGCAGAAGAGCTTCTTGATGATCATGACTTAACTGTGGATTATATCCTCACTCCAACAAGAACTATCAAGACTAACTGCAAACGACCCAAACCTAAGGGAATAATATGGCATAAGGCAAGTTACCTCTGCTAATGATGTTTACTGGTGCCAATATTCTGTTGATAAACCTTCTATTTTACATATAAACACATTGGTTGTCTTAGAAGTACTTGAGTAAGGAGCAGATGTGTTTGTCAGGTGAAATAAATTAACAGCATCCGTGTCCTGTGGGATTTAAGTGGTAATACTGAGGAAGAGAAATATGGCATTGAGGAGGACGAGAAATATATCATTGAAGCTGATGTTGCTGTGTTAAATGGATTAGTGCTTGCCCATAAAAGTGGCTGCCCCATCCCTGGGAGTGTTCCAGGCCAGGTTGGATGAGGCTTGGAGCAACCTGGGCTGGTGGAAGGTATCCCTGTCCATGGCAAGGGGTGGAATGAGATGAGCTTTAAAGTCACTTCCAAGCCAAGTCATCCCATGAGTCTGTGATTCTAAGACAGAGACTGATGATGATTATAGGGTGAGAAACATTGAAAACATTGTGGATTTTTAAGATAGATATAATTTATTGAGTCATTTGCAGTATAATTGTCTATATAAGCTGAGGGATTTGTCCACCTTGTTTGTTTTATTCCTCAGTGCTCATTGGAGTTGGTTCTGGTCATTTCGGGCAGTGTGGAATGGGTTTGTGACAGGAAAATATGACCTGGTGCTGTTCCATCCCTATTTATGCAGTAAATTAACTTTCAAAGGATCAATCTGTGCCTGGAACCTGTTTTCAGGTAGAGAAACAATGACTTTATACTGCTTTTACTTTATTTATTGTTAATTGTTGTCTTATGGGTTTGGCCTTCTGCCTCAGATTGTCAGGAACTTCCTCAAATGGTTTCAGCAAAGCATTTAGTGACTTGTTTTCCTGGAAATTCATGCTGGGAAAACTTTGCCTTTGTCATTAGACTTTCATTTCAAGGAGCAGCCACAATCCTGCATGGCTGAGTAACAGTAGGAATGCCAAAATGAGGAGTATTGTCCTCACATCTTGAAGAAACTGCTGAGGAATTCCTAGAGAATAATTCTAGGGAAATCAAGTGTTGTTATATATAATAGTTCAGGTTTTTTAGGTCATGTTCATACAACAAAGAATTCTACCCAGTCCTATTTTTATTCCTATGGTGGGAGAGTATTTTCCCTGCCTGTGGTTGAAGAGTTGAGGTTATAAATAAATAAATAAATAACAGCTCTGTCTGCACTAGGGAATTTTTTCCATTCAATTAGTTTAGAATTGTCATTTTTAAAAAGGATATAATTGAATGTAATTGTGTTGAAGTCTTACCCCTTGTGCTCCATCCATCGCTATTTGTCTGGCTTAGTGTCAGACTTGACAGCACATGATTCACCCTTTGTTTGCAGATTTGAATGTTAATTTAACACCTAAAACTGGTTGGGATGTTTTTCAGAGTGTGTGTTGATAGGAATATTGGAGAATATTGGGCAGAATAGAGATAATCATTACTTTCTTGTCATTTTGGGGCAAGAAAAGGTGTGATGAAGACAAAAGAAATGAGCTTTATTCTTTCACAGGGAGATAAATGGCATTTTTATTTTGCCCTTGTGGTTTAATGTTCAGCTCTTCCACAGAGGCAGGTGGAGGTGGGAGGTCTAGTTAATCAGGGTGTGGATAATGAAGGATTTGATATGTGCTATTTAAGTGTTTATCCTTAGTTTTTTCCTGGTTACTTCCACATCCTATTCCCTTCCTCCTTTTCTCCTTCAATCCTGGCTTTGCTGCTGCATTCCACTGCTCCTCAGCACTAAATGAACCAAGAGGTAGTGAGTAAATAAATAAACCACTTCTAAACATGCTGTTTTATCAACAGAAATAGCTTAACTCTATTGTTGGGATGTGTAAAACACACTGCAAGAGCTCATCCTTCAGGAACAAGCTTGGATCAAGCCAAGACAATGAGTTAAGAGCTGAAATTCCAGGTGTTTGCAAACATGGGATTACAGCTCAGCATTGCCAAGAGGTAGTGAGTAAATAAATAAACCACTTCTAAACATGCTGTTTTATCAACAGAAATAGCTTAACTCTATTGTTGGGATGTGTAAAACACACTGCAAGAGCTCATCCTTCAGGAACAAGCTTGGATCAAGCCAAGACAATGAGTTAAGAGCTGAAATTCCAGGTGTTTGCAAACATGGGATTACAGCTCAGCATTGGTGGGAAAGGTGTGCTGCCTGAAGCTGTCAGGATAAACAGCCTTTAAGACTGACATAGAGTTTTTGCAGCTCCAGAGAGCTCAGGAGGAACTTGTTCAGCAAAAAAATCCATGTCTCCAGGCTGGATGTGTGTGCTGAAGGAGCTGCTGGAGTGTCCTTGTTTTTTAGGTGCTACTTAAAGACTTCTAAAGAAGTCTGAGGGCCACAGTATAATCAACACTAACAAATCATGATCAATATCATTCTAGAAACACTTCTAAACCCAAAAGCACTGTTGTTGTGTAGATGTGGGTAAGTTTTCTGCCTCTCAGCTCAGTTTTGAGACATCAAGATGAGTTCTTGGAGGGCAACAAGAGCTGAGCACTCTGGAAAACTTGCTTTGGATGCCAGTGGAGAATTATTTGGCTTCATCTGCCTTGGAAACCTTAGGCATTGTTTCTGGGAACTGGAAATTGATGCCTTACTCTCTCATTTAGTGTTTTCTATGGGTAGCTGTGATCATTATCTGTGACACTATTATATTGAGCCCAATTACTAAGTTATTTGTGCTGTGCTTATTTTAAATTGAAACTAGACAGAGCAATTAAACTATTTGGGGTCATGAAGAGGGAAAAGAGAGGAGTTGGTGGAAAAATCACTATATTCCAGTAAGCGTTGCCTTCTGGTTTTTACATAATTCTTTTGCTGAGGAGTTTCTAGCAGGAGAAAAAGAGTTTTCCTGAACTGAAATGAACTGAGGGGAATCCTTGGGTGTGATGTTGAAAGAGTTTAGTATACTGTGGCAGAGATATCTGCCAACAAACAGTTTTTGAGTTGGGTTTGGGATGAAATAATTGGAATGGAAAGCTCCAAAACTTCACACATCCAAGCTGGCAAAACTTTTAGAAGGGCATAGCATTACCATCAGGAGAAAATTGCTGTTAGTTTAGCCAAGGGTTTGTTTTGTTGTGTTGTTTTTTTTGAGGGACAACATGAGCAGGGAACAATTCCACACATGGTTAAACATCTCAACACCTTTACAAGTCTGAGCCTTGCTGCAGAGTCTATGGAATCAAGTTTTTGCTGATGGATTCCAAATGTGAGTTGCATAAGTTTCTCCTGAGGGACACTGACAGACTTCACAGGCTGCCAACTCCCAGAAATATGCCCTTGGACTGTGTGCACATATTTGGACATTTTGTGCAAATGAATGAGCAAATGGCCAACTGTGCTGGGCTGGCCTTGGCTTGGGCTGTGCCTTAGACCCCTGTGAGCTCAGTGCTCCTTCAAACAAGCCACTGGCCAAGGGCACAAGTGAGAAGTGGCTCTGTCCTCAAGGTCTTTATGAACAGTGTGGGGGCAGAGACCTCTAAGAGTGGGCAGAAATGAATCTTTCAAGCACCTTCTGCCTATCAGCAGCACCTGGAAGGGCTGATGGATTTGCTGTAACTATGGTTTGGTGGTGTTTGCAGCTTTCCAGGGCAGCAGCATCAGTCTCTGTCTTAGAATCATGGAATGGGTTGGGTTGGAAGGATGTTAAGGCTCATCTCATTCCACCCCCTGCCATGGGCAGAGACACCTTCCACTAGACCAAGGTTGCTCCAGCCTGGGCTTGAGCACTTGCAGGGATGGGACAACCACAGCTTCTCTGGGCAGCCTGTGCCAGTGCCTCAGCACCCTCACAGGGAACAGTTCCTTCCCAATATGCCATCTAACCTTACTCTGTCAGTTTGAAGCCATTCTCCCTTGTCCTGTCCCTCCAGGCCCTTGTGAACAGTCTGAAAAACTCTGAAAACCCTCAGCTTTCTCAGCCTGTCTTTGTGGGGGAGGTGCTCTAATCCTCTTATCAACTTTGTGGCCTCCTGGATTTGCTTCAAGTCTCCCTCCATCTTTCCTGTAGCTCCTTCAGGTACTGGAAGGCCACACTTAGGTCACCCCAAAGCCGTCTCTTCTCCAGGCTGAACAATCCCAATTCTCTCAGCCTTTCCTCATAGCAGAGGCTCTCCATCCCTCTAATCATCTTGGTGTCTTCTTCAGGTCTTGCTCCAACCGTTCCATGTCCTTCTGTTGGAGACACCAGAACTGTAGTCAGTATTCCAGGTGGAGTCTCTGTGTTCTTGTATGTGGTATGTGCAGATGAGGAGCTGTGGGGAGCAGAATTAATCAGCAGACCTGGCACACTGTCCAATCCATGGCTGTCCTTCCCTCCCACCAGAACTGCAGAGCCTCTGCTCCCAGGGAAACCAAGGTGGTGTTTGACTTGGCCTGGGTTGTATCGGGGTCAGCATCTCTCACTTACAGAGGCCAAACACATCCTTGATTTGCCCCAGCAAATATTGCCAGTGGCTTTGTTCACTGCTGTGAGGTCACAGAAGATGAGGAGAGCCCTGATGTTCCAGCAGGGATGTTGGAGAAGTCCATCTGCCACTCAGTTGTGTTGGGATCAAACCAGGTGTTGTAAGAATGGATGCTCTGGGTTAAGTGTGGGAGATTCATGTTGGCCCGCAACATCGAAGATGTTTCCTTGGGTTTCCATCACGAAGAGGCCACATTTCTCTCCTTTGCTGCTTTGCCATATCCCATTGTGTGCCAGAATCCATCCACCCTGCTGTCCTTCCCCAAGGCTCTCCCAGCTGTGTTGAGGAGCAGGCAGGATTGGGAAAGGATTCATTGCCTTTGGAGTTATTTTTAACCTGAGTCACTTCACTCCCTGGGTTTCCCAGCCCCACTAGTACTTCTGTTGGCCAACCCCAGAGGACTGAAGGATAGAACTGGCTTGGGAATTGGTGGTCAAGGGATAATGGGAAACTTGTTCAGCTGGTCTTGCTGCCAAAGCCAATCGTTCAGCTAAATCCCAATACTCAATGCAAAGTTTACAAACAGCAATAAATGGTTTGGCTTTGACTTTACAGGGATAAGGGAAGCACGAGAAGAAGCTTCCATTGGGTTTGCCCAGGTCTATAAAGCTGGATCAACCAGGCTTGTCCCATGCATTCTGGCTTAGCCCGGGGCAGTAGGCAGGGCTGGGGAGGACTGACCAACAGGCATGAGACTGAGGAACATGCAGCATGTTTGAGAGAGAGAAGGAATATCTTTGGCCTCTCTCCACGGGGAAATAAATCACTGCAATCCTCCACAGCTCCCAGGACATAAGGAACTTTTTGCATGAGCCTAATTAGCACCACATTGTACTACCACAGAGTTCTTTTGTCTGCTCTTTTGCAACAGAGCACAGCAAACTTTTTCCTCTCCTCTGCCCCCCACTGCCCCTTTTGCTTCTCACCCTCAACACCCCCCCCAAAAGCAGTGAATTAGTTGAATTGAAACTCTGAAACCTCAATTTGAGTTTTTCCTTTTCCTTGGGGTAAAAGTGGAGGGAAATAGGTAAGGATTGAGGTTGGATCTAGCTAAAATATTCGCCTAGACCCCAGGGAAAACAGCCCTTAAGGTAAATTCTCTGTGGCCCTTGTGGCAGGAGGATGTCAGTTGACAGTGACAGAATTTGTCTGATGTAGGTTTCTGTGGAATGCTTTCTATTACCCCAAAGTCCAAGTGCCAAAGCAGCTGTTTGGTGCTTTGGGGCTGTTAAGACTATTTACTGTTATGTCTGCACAGAGCTGAATTTAAGGGAATGATAGGATCACTTCATGGTGGTGTTTGAGCAGAACTTTGGCTTTTAAAGGAAACAGTTCATAGCCCTTATAAAAATCCCTGAATCAATCAGGTTGGAAAAGACCTCTGAGATCATCAAGTCCAGCCTATGACCTAACACCACCATGTGAACTAGAGCAGAGCACAGAGTGCCATGTGCAGTCTTGTCTTAAATACCTCTGGAGATGGTGACTCCAGCACCTGCTGGGCAGTCCATTCCAGTATCTAATAACTCTTTGCATGAAGAAATGCCTCCTAAAATGTTGTATATACATTTCATCTTCCTGAGTTTGCAGAGAGCCTGAAACAGTAGCTCCAAGAGTTACAGTTTGATGCCAAAAACTCCTTATCTGATTCGTGAGAGGAGATGCCATTGTGGAGTCTCTTAAGGAGTGTGCTGGCCTTGGATTTTCTAAATCCTCTCCTTGTTTTGTCCGTAGAAGACTAAGAATTCCTGGGATCATCCTCTCAGTGACCGTCTCTGATTGCCTTAATCAGTGCTGAGGATTTGCCCTTGGCATCACTGATCTCCCTGACTAAACACCCAGTCCAGGCCTTGGCAAGTGAGTTGAATTTCAGCATGAAAAGAACACTTGGGAAGAGGTTGAGGTTGTGCTTTGGGCCCAGAAGTGATTAGTTGCGTGAGAATAGAAAAATGGTTTTCCTGTTTGGATTAATTAGCATAAAGCTTATATTTCACAGTGAAATCTGACAGGGGACAACAAATGTTCCTAATTGTTGGCCAGTAAAAACAAAGTAAGATGGCTTCAGCCCTTGCTTTGGTGTTGGATCACCCAGGGAAGGGGAGTTTGCTGAATTCTTGGCTGGGTAAAACAAATCAGCCCAAGAATCCCCAGAGCAAAAATGGCATGTACCTTTCCCTTCCTCTCAGAGGAAGTCCTTCCTTCTCCACTGCTTTCCAGATCTGTTCCAAAATTGTTCTCAGTCACTAAACTTGTTTGTTTAAAGGATCTGACCCCAAACACCTTGACTTCAGCTCTGAGTGTGGCACAATGGCTCTGCCCACACTGCTTAGTCCTAGTTTGCTTTTTGATGTTAGGAGTTAGGACAGGCTTTATGTAAATGAGATTCAGCCTGAAAGAAAACCTGCTTGTTTGCTCCTCAAAACTGAGCCCTGGGAATATTAAGGAGGCTTTTGTTGACTGATGTTCCTGTTACCTAAACCTAACGTAGCCCCAGGGTTGTCTCAGGTTTTATGGAGTGGCTTCAGAGCTGAACTAACTGCTCTCCCTGGAGAGCTCTGCATGTTAGACTGCGTGTGATGCTGCCATATCCAAACTCTGTGGCTGTAACTGGAGAACCAGGAATTCAGGGGCTCTGAGATGAGCAAGATCTGGGAGATCTGGAGGCGTGTACTAGCCAGGACATGGTGGTACTGGTCCAGCCCAGTGGTTCATCAGCTTGGGTGCAGCATCCTGATTGCTCACACTGTGTGGGCTACTAGCCTGGGTCTCTGCTAGCTCAGGCATCACTTCCCTAGGCTCTATTTTGTTCCCTAGACTCTGTTTTGCTACCTAAATTTCAGAATAGGATCTTGTGTTGATGGATGTTCTCCTTGTCCAGCAGCCAAGCAGGAATTATTCCTCCTTCCAAGTGCTGTTTGCAAGCCAAGAGCTCTACCACATTAGCTGGGGAACCACTGTGTTTCCTGCCAGTCTCTGAGTGCAGCCTGGGGCATCTCAGGCCTCAGATGGATAGGATTGAGCTGGTGAGAGGAAGAGCCTTCCCAGAAAAGCTGCTTGTGGGACTGGGAATAGCTGGATGGAAGGGATAGAGGCTTCACAGTATTGAAGTACAGCATCCATGTGCTTCCTTTCCATGATCCAACCCATCAGTGATGTGGCATCTGCTGAGTAGCTGTGGGTGGTGTGTGAGGTTGGATGACAAGAGGGAAGCTGTAGGGATGTGCCACCAGCAGGAAATGTGCCTCCAGCTGGGCCCACATCCATAGGAGTCCCAGTACAAGGCATGTTCCCCACTGCAGGCCTCCACCACCAGCCCTCCCCATTGTGTGTCCCAGCCTAGGGATATCCTGTTTGGAGGGGGGAAAGAGCACAAGGAGCTCTGTAGAATTGAAGTTTGATGAATTGGAAGTGTGTGGGATTCAGGAGCACAAGCCCTTGGTCAAAGCAAGCACAAAGGGAGAACAAGGAGAAGGCAAAGCTGAAAACACTCTAATATGTAAGTGTTAAATTGGAGTAGTTTTGAGTTTGGTGGTGATTTTCCTACTGGATTTCCATTGTGCTGTTTGCTGCTAGAGTAACTAGTGGTTATTTTTGTCCTGCAGTGAGTATTTAGGGAGCAGCTTCACAATGAGGAACAGTTGGAATGCTCTGGCGCTCTGCATGGTAGCAATGGAATAAGGTTCCTCTCTTTTTATGGCACCAATATGTCCTGCTGGTCATTGCCTTATTCTGGGAGGTGACAAAGCCTATCATTCTATCTCTCTTCCTCCTTTTTAGGTCAGCTCTGAGATGCTGAGAAAAATCCCTATCCTAAAGGCTCTTCAATCCAGAGAGAAGCAGAATGGCAAGGATGTCACCCTCCAAGATGAACATCCACACTTGGCAAGCAGCAGAGTGTTAAAGGAGGAGGTGATGGCTGAAAACACACATCCTCAGGCTGCCACAAGCTCAATTCAAATAGGACAACAAGATGTTGCAAGTGACTCTTTGAATCCCAGATTAGAGGGATCTGGCATGATTACTACTGTGTTTGTGGGGAATTTACCTCCCAGGCTAAGAGTGAGTGAGCTGAAATGTGCTTTAAGGGAATTCCATGTGACTCCTTTCCGACTGACTTGGCAGGGAGCACAGCATAGAGCTTTTCTTGATTACCAGGATAAAAGAACTGCAGAGAGTGCTGTAGCCTCTTTGAAAGGCTTAAGCCTCAGGGGGAATCCTCTGCGAGTTGAGCTGGCCAAGAGTCAGAGGAACAAAGGGCAAGGAGAAATCAATAGTCAGAAATGAATATGAATAGAGGAGAGGGGGGGAAAAAAAAGTCATGTTTTCATTGTTTTGGGAGCAGCCAACCTCAGTTTCAAGGTTATTAGCAGAACCTCTGGTTTCTCCAGGCCAAACAACAGAGTGTGAAGCCAACTTTGTGCACAACTGAGGCACAGAGTTGACCTCCTGCCTCCCTCCTGCACTTGGACATGCAAATACTCTGTGTGTATGTGTTTTTCCTGGGCTGATTTGCAGTTTGCTGTGTACATTTGTGAGGCTTAGATGAAAAACCTCATCCTTGGTGGCTCTCTCCAAGCCACATGCAGCAAGGTGGTTATATATTCAGGCATCTAAAGGTTGTACCTGCACATTAGCCTTGGGAGTTTAAAAGCCAAAGGCAGGAGATGTGTCCTAAGGGTTGCAAACTGATTACTGAAAAATGGAGTTGCCTGTTGGGAGTCTTCAGTTTATTTGTTATAAAAATGGTCAGTTGGAAGAGAGATTTATGTCTTCTTTGTGTGCTTGAAGAAGGTGGAAGCACTTGCTCAGCCATGGAGTTGTAGTAAGAGCTGTTAATATCAGGTGGAAAAGATGATAACCCTTTTCTCGACTTTGTGTTTAATCAACCCTTTTGTAACACTGTATCTCTTATTTCAGCTGGGCAGAGTCAGGTTTTTCCCCTCTGCTTTTCCCCAAAACATTTCAATTGCCTTTTGGATGGCTCAGAGAATTCTAAAATAGCTGATTATAAATAATTCTATGATATAATAATGAGGATAATTCTAAAATGTCCTGATTGTCTCTCTTATAAATTGATGTGATCCATTGCCTCACAATCAGTTAGGCTGGAAGGGACCACAGTGGGTCATCTGGTGCCACCTCCCTGCTCAAGCAGAACTGGCCCAGAGCACATGGCTCAGGATTTCATCCAGATGGGTCTGGAATACCTCCAGTGAGGGAGAATCCACAGCCTCTCTGGGCAATCTGTTTAGTGCTCAGTGACTGCACAGGAAAGAAGTTCCTCCTCATGTTCAGGTGGAATTTCCTGGGCATCAGGTTTTGCTGTTACCTCTTGTTTTATTGGTTTCCACTACTGAGCAGAGTCTGATCCATCATCTTGGCACCTCCTGTTCATGTACTTGAATACACTGATGAGGTCCTTCTCAGTGTCTCTTCTTGAGGCTGAACAGCCCCAACTCCCTCAGCCTTTCCTCATCAGTGAGGTGCTCCAGTCCCTTCAGCATCTTCATTGCCCTCCAGTGGACCTGATCCAGGAGCTCCATGTCCCTCTGGCACTGAGGAGCCCAGAACTGGACTCAGTACTCCAGGTGTGGCCTCACAAGGGCCGAGCAGAGGGACAGGATCACCTCCCTGACCTGCTGACAATGCTTTTCCTAGTGCATTCCAGGATTCCATTGGTTGTCTTAGCTACAAGAGCACACTATTGACTTATGGACTGCTTGTTGTCCACCAGAATCCCCAGGTCCTTCTCCACAGAGCTGCTTTCCAGCAGGTCAGTGCCCAAACTGTACCAGTGCTTGGGGTTATTCCTCCCCAGGTGCATAACCTGCACTTGCCCTTGTTGAATCTCAGTTGGTTCTTCATTTCTCCAACCTGTTGCAGTCCCTCTGAAGGACAGATACTCATTACTGGAGTGGAAATGAAAAGCAAATAGACCATTGACAAAATTTGGTGATGCCTAGTCTGTTGTGGAGTTGTTTGGAAAGCTGCTAGAGACAGTAGCAATGACTATTCCTCTGTGCCTTTGGCACCACCACTGTGATATTCTGCACCCACAACATGAGTGATGAGGGTTAGGCATTGATGAGGGTTAGCTCCTCCAGCTAAAGGTGCTCCCAGGTCCTAGCTTGGACAGTAAGATGTACAAACACATTCCCTTAGAGTGTGAGAGAGAGTGAGGATTTATTTGCTATGGCTTTTCTGACATTTTTGTTTCCTTTGGTTTCCTATTCCTGAAAAACAAGTTGAAATTTGGCCTAAGCATCCTTTCTAAACAGCAGCACTTGTGCCAGTGGTGCTGGGCACAAAGTCAAAGTAAGCAGCTAAATGGAGAGAGTTTTTTTTAAGTACAAGTTGGAAAGTTTTCTTGTAGCCAGAGAATACTGTTAAGTGTATTTTAAGCACATTATTATGCCTCAGGGGTCAGACATTTCGTGCAGTATTAAGTAAAAGGTTCTCATCATGTGGCTCGGTGTGGAGGGACACAAGGAATGCAGTTGGAGTGCTACATCCAGCTCTGGGGTTCTCAGCACAGCAAGGATATGGAGCTGTTGGAGAAAGTCCAGAGGAACAATCAAGATGGTTAGAATGATGGAGAACCTCTGCTGTGAGGAAAGGCTGAGAGAGTTGGGATTGTTCAGCCTGGAAAAGAGAAGGCTTTGGAGTGACCTAAGTGTGGCCTTTCAGTGCCTGAAGGAGCTACAGGAAAGATGGATGGAGACTTGGAGCAAGTCCAGAGGAGGCCATGAAGCTAAGAAGAGGATTGGAGCATCTCCCCTACAAAGACAGGTGGAAAGAGCTGGGGCTGTTCAGCCTGGGGAAGGTTGTGTGAAGACCTCAGAGCAACCTGCCAGGATCTGAAGGGGCTCCAGGAAAGCTGCAGAGGATTCTTGGTTAGGAACTGCAGTGACAGGACAAGGAGTAATGGGGAGAAATTGAAAGAGTGAAGTTTAGATTGGATATTAGGAGTTTTTCCCTGTGAGAGTGGTGAGATGCTGGCACAGGTCCAGGGAGGCTGTGGCTGCCCCACCCCTGGCAGTGTTAAAGACTAGATTAGCTGAAGCATTGAGCAATGTGATCTGGTGGGAGGTGTCCCTGCCCAGGGCAGGAGGTTGGGACTAGATGGTCTCTAAGCTCCATTCCAACCCCTTAACATGCTATTATTCTATTGACAAGGGCCTGGAGTGACAGGACTAGGAGCAATGGCTTCAGACTGTCAGAGGGCAGGGATAGATGGAATATTGGGAAGGAATTCTTCCCTGTGAGGGTGCTGAGGCACTGGCACAGGTTGCCCAGAGCAGCTGTGGCTGCTCCATCCCTGTAATTAAAGCAAAGTTCAATGAGGCTCTGAGCAACCTTGGTTTAGTGGAAGGTGTCCCTGCCCATGGCAAAGAAGTTGAACTAGATGATCTTTAAGGTCCTTCCAACCCAAACCATTCTATGACTGTGAACTTCTTTAAGGTCAGCAAAGGAAAGGTTCCTAGAAAAAAAAAGTGCTGTGCTCTAAAATGCTTATTTTCTCCAGCTCAGACTGATTTTCAGTGTCACTTTGAAGTAAAACATGAGCACTGTGGAGTCCTCTGCAGCTTGTTTCAGTGCTTGTGCACGTCAAGAGGGAGAGTCAGGGGTTGTGTTACTGCTAAAACATACTCACTACTTCACGAATTTCCAAAAAGGTGGAAAGGAAAGCTAAACAATAATTATACTTGACTGCCTGCCCCTTCCAAGTGATGTAAGTTAACTCCTGTCGTCATTTGATGCTCTTTTTGCCTCAGCACTGGTGAAGATGCCTAGGTAGCCTTAGCAGTTCCTCTGCCAATGAAAACTCCCAGCATCTCCAACTTCCCCAGCTGTATTCCATACGGAACCAACCTTTTCTGGTCAAATTTGTGGGAATACCAACCTCTACCTTATTTCCTTTCTTAACATCTGAAGTTACAGTGCAGGTATGTTTCTGTGCTGGGTTTGCTTTGGTATCTCCACTGTGTGCACTCAGGGACAGGTTTGGGTTGGACAAACATGACTGGATGTTCTTCTGTTTGCAGCAGGTTGGAAATCAGGAGGAATTTCTTTATGGAAAAGGTTGGTAAGCACTGGAATGGGCTGACAGGGAGGGGGTGGAGTCACCATCCCTGGAGGTGTTCAAGAAACAACTGGTGGCACTCAGTGCTCTGCTCTAGTTGACAAGGTGGTGATGGGTCACAGGTTGGACTTGATAATCTTGGAGCTCTTTTCCAGCCTAAATAATTATGTGATTCTAACTTAGAGAAGGAAACTAATTAATATAAGCTAAAGCTAACAGACCATTAGCATTTGGAATGGATTGGAATAATGATATTGATGCTGTGATCCTTGTATTTTTGATCCAGATTGTTAGGAAATGTCAAGATCTCAGGCATTGCCATCTGAAAGTCATTGAGTCACTCTGAAGTCAGTGCAGCTTCTGCCTTGGAGAGCCAGGGAAGCAGTGGCAGGGCTGGAGCTCTTCCTGCTGCTTAGGAAGTTGCTCATGATGGTTAGCTAAAAGCCATTTCAATGCAAGATGCCAAATTGCTGTTTAATTAACTAACCCAAGCCTGCCTGAGGCACACACCCACATGGTCTTCTGGTGGCTTGAGCTGTGTGATGTGGAACTTTTCTTGTGGCTTGACCCAAGTTCCTCCTCAAGGAAAGAGCAGATTGTGAAGGAAAAGTGAATGGGGCAGTCTGCAGCTCTTAGATCTATTGTTCCAGGCTCTCTGCATGCTCAGGAAGACATCAGTTAGAGAAAAGTCAGAAGGGACTTGTGTGTAAGTCACCAAAACTCTTCAATGCAATACATTTTGTTGACTTCTTAGGCTCTCTCATGAGAAAACTCAAGGAACTGAAACCTGCTTATATTTTCCTTTGGTCCAGACCAAGCAAGATGCCAACAATAAAAGCATAAAGTCCATGCCTTGGAGGATTTATTGGCTGAATTAACAGGCTTTAAAGATGAGAATGTTTACTCAAGTTATAACTGTTCATTCTGTACTTGTTATAGCTGTGACCCTGCTGGTGATGTGTAGCATAGTCACAGAATATCCTGAATTTAAAGGGACCCGTGAGGATCATCAAGTCCAACTCCAGGCCCTGCACAGGACACCCCAAAAATCCCACCATGTGCTTCAGAGCATTGTCCAAACACCCCTTGAGTTCTGTTAGCCTTGGGGCTGTGACCACTGCCCTGGGGAGCTGTTCCAGTACCCAAACACCCTCTAGGGGAAGAACCTTTCCTCATATCTAACCTAAACCTCTCTTGACCC